AGTGTGACGTGGTCCGATAAGCATTTTGCAAACAGTGCCGTGTTTCCCCGAAAATAAGACAGGTCTTTATGTGTTTTCCTGAAGAAGACACCCGAGGGCTTATTCTCAGGGATGTGGGTTTTTTGTTTTTTTTTTTTAAGTACGTACAACAATCTACATTTATCAAATAGAGTTAAGTCGCGTCTTCTGGAACATCATGTCCACTCTCCAAACCCGAATCCCATCCTGAATGTCTTGCGACTCTGTTCCTTTAGAACCGTGGCCCCAGTCTCTCACGTCGAGCACTAGAGCTCTCACGGGGCAGGTGAGAGGCTGCTCGTCGTCTTTGCCACTCCCAGCGACATGCATGGGTTGCAGCCCGCACTAGGCTATTTTCGGGGTGGGCTTCTGTTGCGCACATGCTTAGAAATCCTGCTAGGGTTTATTTATGGGTAGGTCTTATTTTCAGGGAAACTGGTATTTTGGCCAAGTGGGATGATTATTGCCATGATAGCTGTGAGAAGTCGAGTGTTAAATTGACAAGACCCGGTGAGGATGAGGGGCGTGTCAAGGGAGTGTCCTACAATTTCTGGCTCGGTTCAGGTTACCATTCACTGGGATTGAGAACACTGGAGGAGCTAGTTTGGAAAGTGAGAACTCCAAGAACAATAAAAGTGGGTATGTGTATAGATGTGAATTGCTGGGTCATGTGGTCATTCTGTATTTACTTTATGAGGACTGGCAGACTGTCTTCCAAAGTGGCCACAACATTTACATTGCTACCAGCAACGGATGGGGTTTTGATTCTCCATATCCTTGCCAACACTTCTTATCCATTATATTATTGCCATGCTAGTGGGTGTGAAGTGGTATCTTGTTGTGCTTTGCATTTCCCTTGTGACTGTGATATATTTTCATGGTTCTTGCCATTTGTATGTCTTGGAAAATGTTTATTTAAGAGCAAGACCCTGTCTCCAAAAATTTTTGTTAAATTACATAAACATAGACATGTAGTTCCCAGCTACTTCAGGCTAAGGCAAGAGGATTGCTTGAGCTCAGGAGTTTGAGATCCAGTGAACTGTGATGACACCACTGCACTCTAGCCTGGGTGACACCAGACCCTGTCTCAAAAAGTAAATAAATAAATGCATACATACATATATATGTACATTGGGTCGAAACTTCAGTTTAGCTAATTACTAAGCTTCACATCTGTGGTATGTATTATAGGCACCTAGAGCTTATGTATAAAATGAACTCATCATCTCCATTGCTACTCACCCAAAGCAAAATAACATTAAAAACAGAAAATTGTTCGCTGTGTAGTTTCCTAGTTCAGTGATATAATCAATGATGATTATTTCATTTTTATTATAAAGAACATTAGTCTCCAATAATTCATATTATCATCCTCCTTTCCATTACGCCTTTCTGTCAAATCTACCAGATAGCTAATAGGAAAGTAGCCTTCACTCCATCCGCGCGTCAAGCCACTTGCTCCATCTTAATCGTACATAGAGCTTCCACCAAGTATTACCAATGTTACAAAAGTGGGAAGACAGGTCGCTGTGGTGGGACCACCCAGCCTTACTCAAAAGGGCACCTGGCTGCTTAGTTCTACCTTATTTTCCCATCGCATTCCAGGGTCAGGAGTCCCAGGGTGTGGCTTTCATGCTATCAAGACTTTGTTAACACTCGCTCAAACAGTTGTCTATAAATGTCACCCTTTTGCACATCCTGTCTGTTCCACACATTTTAGCCACTATTATGTTCTTTGCTCTCAGACTTTGTTCTTTGAGGAGAAGCCTTGCACTCCGTGGCCTGCCTGATATATAGCAAGACCTCAGCAGGTGTTTGTGGAATAAAATAATTGTAACAGCTCCTGAATGGAGAGGTTCAATATATACAGGGACATCACAGTCCCTGTGGGAGATCTGGGTGGTTTCTTTCTGTATAGCTCCCTCAAAACATCCAGAATAAAGCTCTGTGAGAAGTAGGATTATAGGAGATTTCCACTTCTTCATATTCCGCTGCATTTTCTACATTAAGCACATAACTTTAATAGGATATTTAAAAATTATAAGCAAAAATTGTAAAACATAAAAGGCAAGTAAAAACTATTACATGAATGATTATTGTGAACTTGGAATTGGGTTAAAAATCTCTAAGATCACAGAAATCACAGACTGATCAATTTCTTTAAAATAGAAACCTTCACATCAAAACAGTATAAACCCCAAATCAATCCCATGGACACGGCAGAACTGCCTGGCAGAAGAGGCAGAGCCACTGGCCTCGCACAAGGACACAGGAACTCCGATGAGGAGGAGCAAGGGCCACACCCCCAGGGCCAGTGGGCAGTATCCAGAGTCACTGTCAAAAAAAGGAGGGGGGTGCAGAGGAAGACAACTGTGCACTGGAG